GGAACAACCTGCCTCCAGAAGCGGTGAATGCTCCAACACTGGAAGTTTTTAAGAAGAGACTGGACAGCCATTTGTCTGAAATGGTATAGGGTTTCCTGCCTGAGCAGGGGGTTGGACTAGATGACCTTCAAGGTCCCTTCCAACTTTACTATTATTATTATTATTATTATTATTATTATTATTATTATTATTATTATTAAATGTAATTTCATCAGACTTCATGCTTCTATGTATGCAAAGTATAAATAAAAAGATAGATTTAACTACAGTAAGTTGTTTTATAAAGATTTATTCTGCCAAACTTAGCAAAAGTCCGACAAAGTATTTGGTAAGTAATTATTATTATATGCTTTAACTTGCTGTAGCTCTGCTTTATAAATTTTATAAAGTAAAGTTACTTCCCTACTTTATAAATCACCATTACTGTGGAACCGGTGGGCGGTTAGAAAATTTTACTAACAGAGATACAAAAATGGGCGGTAGGTATAAAAAGGTTGACTACCCCTGGTGTAAGCCAAAAAAAGAGACACAGTTTTATTTTAGTTAACACCATTATTTTTCTCTATTATTTTCTATCTTTGTAAACCATGCTTGTATCTATCATATCCATATATTATTTCTGTTTCTTAAAAACCTCCAGATTCCCCACCGCCTGCCAGGTAACGGAATGTAAAATGGTTGGTATCTTTTTTACTGAAATTGTTTATTGTGCAGACACTGAAACTTTTTCAGGAAAACAAAAATAGGCAACAATAGAAAAGGGAAAAGGAAAAAAAGCCAGTTTGGGTCAGAACAATAATCAGGGTACCCCTCCCCCTCCCATTTTTTTCTGGAAAATAATTCCAGTGAGCATACGGAGAAAAGTACTGACAGTTCCAAAAAAACAGGAAAAAAAAATCGGTTTTCAAAAGGAAACGGAGATTGTCTGGAAAGAAACCTCCATTTCTTTTATACCAGAAAAAAAAAAGCAACGCTGATGTAATCTGAAAACAGTAAACGAGATGTGCTTTCCCCTCTTTCTTCCACTGCACAGAGTGGTGCAAAGCACAACTTTCCCTGCCTCTGCACTTCCGTCTTTTGTCGCCTTGCCCGAGATTGGCTGCCAGTCTTCCTTTCCGGCCTGAAGCTTTGCCCTCGACCATTGGCTATAAAGCCGATGATCACGATCCGCCTGTTCCGTCGTTGCGCCTTTCTCCTGGCAGCTACGTAGAGCCCTCTCCAGCCCATCCGCTGACGAGTGCGGCTGCGCGTCACTGAGCTGCTGAGCTGTCTCAACTTTGTCTTGCTGGCAGGAAGTGGCGCCTCTGCAGGAAGTAGCGATTTCGAGATTTCCACGCAGATGCGGACTGTCTATCTAGCGCTGCCGTTTCCCATAATTTCTTGTCTGTCTATCATAGCATCTTCCTTCTTCCCGGGCTAGGATTAGGTTAATCTTCTGCAGCTCCTTTTTTACCCGGTTCAGCACATCCCCGGACAGGATGCTAAAGAAATTTGATAAGAAGGACGAAGAATCAGGTGAGTGGAGAAACTCTAGAGTTGTCCAACGGGGCGACCTCCAGATTTGATGCGTGGCTACTCCCTCCTCGCTGTTGGCAGCTGCAAAAAAAGCTACCGCATCTGGGCTGCAAAAATCCGGATAGTAGCAAAACGTTTCGGACTTTTCTATATCCCTTGGCTTCCAGTTAGCAGACGTCAGGATGTTTGCAGGATCTAGGGGCTGAAATTACGGGAGCTGCAATCCAACATATCGGGGATTAGTCATATACTAGGAAGGGAGAAAAATACAGCCATCCTATTTTATGAATGAAATGCTACTGTATCAGAGGTGTATATGGTATAAATTATTGCAATTAATAAGAATGTACCTACTCAGTCCAATTCTCGTTAAAAGAAAGAACTACTGTCTCTTGATTGTGCTAAATATAGCATGGTAGGATTTCTTTAATCAAAGAGAAAATGACATTATAATACTGACAATAAGATCTTATTATAATAGTGCAATCTTTTTCTTTATGGATAACTCTATAAGAGAATGAATTTGCTATAGAAATATAGCAATATTTAATCTACTTTTTATTTCCTAAATTGCTATTGAAAACAAAAGAACATTTAAATTTAATTGTACGTCACCCTGAGTCATTTTCCAGAGTGAGATAGGTGGCATATAAATTTAAAATATAATTCAACTTTTTGCCCTGAAACAAAGATTAGAATTATTGGGTAGTTTCTCTGTCTCAGTTCAATCCAGCTCACAGGATTGTTTTTGTGGGGAAAACAATACAAGACTATCAATCTTATTTTTAAAAAGGTGTGATATAATAATTGAAGATTGCACAGACTGACTAGAAGCAATGCAACAATGGTGCATTGGAATATCTGCAAGAAATACCATTTGCGTGCAAGCAAGAACTAAGGGGATTTACAAAATACACATAGTAATAGAAAATGAAAAGGCTAAAGAGACAGCAGAATAGAAGGGATAGAACTGGAGAAAATAAAAAACAAAGACCTGCAAATAAAAGTAGAATAACTGTGGCAAAGGAAAGTAAAAATAATACTAATAGAAATAGGTGCCCTGGGTGCAGTCCCAAAACATCTGAAGACCACTTGAACACCATTGGCATTGACAAAATCACCACCAGTCAATTATAAAGGCAGCTTTACTCTGAACAACTTACATTCTTCAACAATAGCTTTAACACTACCAATCAATAATATCTGCCTATCCCAGGTGGGGTGCCGGGGGGGGAGACTCAATAAGTGGATAAAATGCCAAATCCAATCTAAACATCTGGCTGATTGTACAACCAATCACAATATAATAAAAAGCATTAATGTTGATAGGGCCTGAGCATTTAATTATTGACTAGGAAAAATGTATAATTCCATGCAGTTGTCTTTACCATATAGCTTTGAAGAAAGATACAAAAGTCGCAGTGAGCATCAAGGTAAAATTATCATAATCTGCTGGGTACATCAAAAAGGATATTATAACTTGAATAGACACAGAGACAGCTGCTTACCTAGATGATAGAACAGAACCTAAGGGTTAGAATATTTGAGAATCTTCAGCTGTAGGGGCGGGAGGAAAGCTAAGGAATATAACAGAAGGCTGTTAATTTTGCATGATAATTAAAACCTTGAGTGATAATTAATGGAAGGAATCTCAGGATAAAGAAAAGGAACTACTACTTAACACAGACTTGTTAAATCAGATAATTTATCTGATGATGGGTATCTATTTGGACAGTTTAAAAAGAATTAGACATAGGTAATTCTCAATTTATGACCATAATTGGGACCAAAATTTCCGTTGCTAAGCAACACAGTAGTTAAATGAACTTTGCTCCATTTTACAACCTTTCTTGCCACAGTTGTTAAGTGAATCACTGCAGTTGTTAACTTAATAACATGTTGTTAAATGAACGTGGTTTTCCCATTGACTTTGCTTGTCAGAAGGTCACAAAAAGGGATCACATGACCCTGGGATGCTGCAAGCGTCATAAATACATGCCAGTTGCCAAGCAACCCAATTTTGGTCACACGATCGTAGAGATGCTGTAACGATCATGAATGTGAAAAATAGTCATAATTTAATAATAATAATAATAATAATAATAATAATAATAATATTTGGCATTGACAAATTCGCTGTTAGTCAATTGCAAAAGGCGGCCTTACTAGGAACTGCTTCCATCCTGCGACGATATCTATAATACCATCAAACATCCACATCTGCCTATCCCAGGTCCTGGGAAAGGACTCGATAGGTAGACAAAATGCCAAATCCAGTCTGAACATCTGGCTGACTGTGCGATGATCCATAATAATAATAATAATAATAATAATAATAATAATAATAATAATAATAATAATAATAATAATAATAATAATAATATAAAAAAGTTGGAAGGGACTTTGGAAATCATCTAGTCCAACCCCCTGCTCAGGCAGGAAACCCTATACCATTTCAGACAAATGACTGTCCAGTCTCTTCTTAAAAACTTCCAGTATTGGAGCGTTCACCCCTTCTGGAGGCAGATTGTTCCACTGGTTAATTCTTCTAACTGTCAGGAAATTTCTCCTTAGTTCTAGGTTGCTTCTCTCTTTGGCTAGTTTCCATCTGTTGCTTCTTGTCCTGCCCTCAGGCGCTTTGGAGAATAGCTTGACTCCCTCTTCTTTGTGGCAGCCCCTGAGATATTGGAACACTGCTGTCATGTCCCCCCTCATCCTTCTCTTCATTAAACTAGACATACTCAATTGCAGCAACCGTTCCTTATATGTTTTAGCCTCCAGTCCCCTGATCATCTTTGTTACTTTTTCCAGTGCTCTTGTAACTTCAAATAATCACTAAATGAATGGGTTTTTTTTTAACCAAACGTATCTCCATCATGTGAAACTTCTCTGTAAATAGTCACTAAATGAATGGGGTTTTTTTAACCAAACCTATCTCCATCATGTGAAACTTCTCTGTGTTTTATTCTTTTTTTCTTTTCCTTCATTTTAACATTGAATAGCCTTTCAATAATAAAAGATCTTCATGCTTATGCATTTCATTATTCCTTTCTTATTTATTTGCATTGAATATGAAGTTAAGAAATATAGAATTATACTTGTCCTGAATTGCAATTGATCTGACTTAATTGCAAGGCTAAGCTAATATGTTGTGACACTTCAATTCCATTCGCACTGGAAAAGGTCAATAATTGCCTAGAATGACTGCATTTCTTCCTCTTTTAATCATTCCAACTTTTGTTATTAACTTTCAGAAATGTTAATTTTTATTAAGGGGTAAATGAACCTGGACTTTCCCAATTGAAATTTTGCCCGTAGGAAAGTCTTAATCATTAATTAAGTTGACTATCTTACATTGCAGGTGGAGGTTCCAATCCATTCCAACACTTGGAAAAAAGTGCTGTGCTGCAAGAAGTAAGTTTCCAAATAATGCTGGTCTTTTCTTCTGAGGAGTAAATCCCTGGATACGCCCCCAAATTCTTACGTCTACATTTCTCTGTCCTAGGCCCGAGTATTCAACGAGACACCTATAAATCCTCGGAAATGCGCTCATATCCTCACAAAGATTTTGTATCTCATAAATCAGGTAAAAGGGAGATTTTACTTACAAGGCCTTTGTTGTACTGGTTAAACAATCCTGCTCAGCTTGTCAACATTAAAGCTAAATTGCTGGAATTCCTTCGTTTATTTTTTCAGTGTTAAAGGAACTAGCAAAGTGCTCCTGCATGGTCTGAAGCAGTGTGAAAGGTGACTCTTTGTAGTGTGATCACCAGCACTCACTAACTTTGCCTCTCAGCTGGGTTAACTTTAGTCGTGAGCTTCTCTTGGCTAAGTCTTCCAGCTACTGGCACAAATACTAGCAAATGTGAGTTTTTTCTTCCATTCTAGGGAGAGCATCTTGGTGTGATGGAAGCCACCGAATCATTCTTTGCCATGACCAAACTGTTCCAGTCCAATGATGTAAGTCTTTCATTGTGCATTTTGGCATTTACTTAGAGTGGAAAGAGGATGTAGGGCCTCTATTCAGAAGGTCCATTGTCAGGGGTACTTCTGGGGATAAGATTACGTACATGTACAAGATAAGCTTTTGATCCCAAGAACGATCAGTGTTTATTACTTAAATACTAAATAAGCACTTTCTTGGATAACTGAATTGTGAGTATATTTGAACGTATTCTAGTACAGTGATGGCGAACCTTTTAGAGACTGAGTGCCCAAACTGCAACCCAAAACCCACTTATGCATCGTTGAGTGCCGGGTGGGTGTTGCCCATTGGGTGGGTGTGGCCCATTGGGTAGGCGTGGCCCATTGGGTGGGAATGGCTGCGGTGGTAACAGCAAACTGGGTGGGACTAAAAAGTTCAATCAATCAATTCCAACTTTGCAGGACCTTTTTTTTTTCGCAAGAAGTTGAAATTGATTGATTGAACCTTTTTTTTTTTTTTTTGCACACGGCGGCGGAGGCCTAAAGCGAAAAAGTTTTATAAAACCCAGCTGAAGGCCTAGGACTGGGGCGACGGCGCGCGTGCCTCTGAGTGCCGCCTCTGGCACCCGTGCCATAGGTTTGCCACCACTTTTCTAGTACATCTAAATTGTCTATACTTCTTATAGGTGATGCTTTACTCTTATTTCACAATTAACTTATACCTATTAACAATAGTTTCTTTCTTTGTCATCCTATGCCTATTATTCTTATATTTGTTTCCTTCAGCCTATGTTTCTAGTTCCGTTTTTAGCTTTTAGATATCCTTGAACCTATATTTCTATATATACCTTCTTTTATAAATGTGCTTCTTTGTTTACAGACATACATCTATACTCCACTTTGAACCTTTTGTGTACAGTCTCCCAGTTTTCCTTTGGAAATAACCCGTTCCCTTTCTTTCCCCGTTGCATGATTTTTTTTTTTTGTTACAATCCCTTCAAAAAGGGATTGTAGCTGCCCTGTCTGGCTTTGGTAACTGGCTGCTTCTAATCAAAGTTCTGCTGGGCCTCTGAATGGGGGGCCTTGGTAATTTGCTAAGCTCTCTAGGGCAGGGGTTCTCAACCTTGGCAACTTTAAGACTTGTGAACTTCAACTGCCAGAATTCCTCAGCCAGCTTTGCTGGCTGAGGAATTCTGGGAGTTGAAGTCCACAAGTCTTAAAGTTGCCAAGGTTGAGAACCCCTGCTCTAGGGATTTGATGTCACTGCTGGGATGACAACTTTGGCATCTCGCCCTCACAATTGCTTGATGCCAGGCTGCATTTGCACATACCATCTCCTATTTATTTATATCCTATGTTGGCTTCTCAGTTTCAGTTTGTATATCCAGATGCAAAATATATAGGGACCTCATCTTTTCCTGAAATATTGGCCACTTTATACATCCTGTCAATATTTGTACATGCTAACTCTGTTGTTTGTTCTCTGTGTCAGCCAACTCTCCGCAGAATGTGTTACCTGACCATCAAAGAGATGTCTAGCATTTCAGAAGATGTCATTATAGTAACTAGCAGGTAATGTTTTCTTGAATCAATTGAACTGTATAACATTCCAAGTGTATAAGGAGGGGGAGGAGGGGAGCAGCAGTAGTAAAAAGAGATGATGAAACTGGAATCATTAGCAAAAAAAAAAAATGGTAGCTTTAAAAGGCTATTGAAATGCTTATGTAAAGAAACCTCACCATTTAATTGATCTACCCCAAGTTTTGAGTAATCCAAGCACACAAGATACATTTTGATATGTGTTGCTATCCTTCTCTCTCCTCTCTTCCCAAATGTTTTTGCTTTTTAATTATATGATTTATAATTAATAATAATTATAAGGAAGTAAGGTTAATGTTAACCACATTCAAAATTTTAAAGTGATGCCTACCAATGTTAGTCAACAATAACTCTGCGTGTATATGTATGCTACACACACAGTGTGGGTTTTTTCGCTTGTCTTAGCACATGCTGCATACCCAGCTTTTGGGAATCTGTAAAGCAGGGTTAAGGATCTAGTGCAATGAGTGAATCTGGTCTCACTTTCTCAGTGTTTATACAGTGAAATACTACATTAATAATATGCATTGTGTATGTCTGTGTGGTATACACATATGTATTGAAAGACATTATGTTCCTTTGATGCAACTGAGTTGCCGAGGGAAGTCAATTCTTGTAGTCTAACACCTGATATAATAAATATATAATACTAACATCTCTATTCCATTTTTGTCCAGTTTAACCAAAGATATGACAGGAAAGGATGACAACTATAGAGGCCCTGCTGTGCGAGCACTCTGCCAGATTACAGATGTAAGTATGAAACATTTGCATCTTTTCTTTTTTGCAATCCTTGTCATTTTTTTTCTACATCTTCCCATCATTATCTGCATCTTCCTTTGCTTTGTTCTTAGTGGGTTTCCCCCTGTCTTTCTCCTGCATTGTTTGCTCCTTCACTATGGTCTTTGTCCATTCTTGGAAGTCTTGGCAGATGTTCTCCTACGTCCCTTCCAACCAGCCTCCCATGTTCTGTCTTCCCTGCAGAGCACCATGCTCCAGTCTATTGAGCGCTACATGAAGCAGGCGATCGTTGACAAGGTTTCCAGTGTCTCCAGCTCTGCCTTGGTGTCATCTTTGGTGAGTAAGTGCTTGCAGAATTTATGAACTAGGCAAGAAATGTTGAGTGCTCATTGTCCGACAGGACACCTCTTGTTTTTTTAAAAAAGTGAAAATTATGACGGAAAACCTCAGCTGGCCCAGACACAGAAAGAATTGACAGATGAATAGTTCTTTGTCAATTCTGTGAGTAGCGGTGCGTGACCATTCTTAATTGATGGAGCCATTTGTCTGTTTGGAAGAAGCAAGAATGTGGTTCTGTGTTTGTTCTTGCTAAATTATTTTAAAGGCATGAGCTGTCACTATTTTAGATCACGAATGAGAGAGAAAGAGAGAATAGAAAAATGATGATGGAGCGCAACTCCTGGGCCACAAAACTTCTAATCTTTTTTGGAGCTATTATATGTCAATTGCAATGTTTCTGTTTGACATTTGAAGCAACTTCTTGATATGTTCTCTGGTTTTCTTCCTTTACAGCACCTTCTAAAGACGAGTTTTGATATAGTAAAACGTTGGGTGAATGAAGCTCAGGAGGCAGCATCTAGTGACAATATCATGGTCCAAGTAAGAGTTTTAAAGCTAACCTGGAATGTATAATGCTGTGGCCTGATGAATTTATGTGTAGAAATATAGAAATAAAGTTGATGTCTTATCTTCCTTTGCTACCTTGTTCCAGTATCATGCTCTTGGCTTGCTGTATCACATCCGCAAGAATGATCGCTTGGCTGTCAACAAGATGCTAAACAAGTTCATGCGTCATGGGCTGAAGTCACCTTTTGCCTATTGCATGATGATTCGAGTCGCCAGTAAACTGCTTGAAGAAGAAGCTGGAGGGTAAGAAAAAGACATTTTTCTGTCTTCAGAGCCAGTTCTATAGAGCCAGAGCCAGTGTAAGTGATTAAAGGCACCAGGGTAGAAACTGGGAAAGCATGAGTTCTAGTCCCTCACATGTCCTCATCAACCAACACGTGTCCTCACCAAGACATATCCAAACCACAACTCACCAATACATGTCCAAACATTTATTCTGCACCATATTGCATTTTTTTGGCTCCAGTAAGGCCACAATTGCATAATCCGCTGTCTCTGTTGATACGTCTATAAAATATTATAGACGTATCAACAGAGATATTAGCAATTAGCAGTCTGGTATTTTCTTAAACTCGCTATTCTCATAAAACAAGATTGAGCAGGATGAATTGAGCACTTAGAATACTGCATCCAGTTTTGGTCACCATGATATAAAAAAGACTCTAGAAAGAGTACAGAGAAGAGCAACAAAGATGATTAGGGGACTGGAGGCTAAAGCATATAAGGAACGGCTGCTGGAATTGGGTATGTCTAGTTTAACGAAGAGAAGGACGAGGGGGGACATGATAGCAGTGTTCCAATATCTCAGGGGCTGCCACAAAGAAGAGGGAGTCAAGCTATTTTCCAAGGCGCCTGAAGGCAGGACGAGAAGCAACAGATGGAAACTAACCAAGGAGAGAAGCAACCTAGAACTAAGGAGAAACTTCCCGACAATTAGAACAATTAATCAGTGGAACAACCTGCTTCCAGAAACTCTGAATGCTCCAACACTGGGAGCTTTTAAGAAGAGATTGGACAGCCATTTGTCTGAAATGGTATAGGGTTTGCTGCCTGAGCAGGGGGTTGGACTAGATGACCTCCAAGGTCCCTTCCAACATTATTATAATTATTGACAATATTATGTTTTATAATCTGTGCAGTTCTCTGTTTAAATTTAAAGAATGCTGATGTTTGTACTACCTGATCAGCAATTTTAACCCAATAGTTATAAACTAAACTTTGATCACAGAAAAAAGAACCAGTCAGTGTTTCAATAAAATGGGTGATAAAGAATGTTTGAATCTAATATTTCTTTTTCTTGTTTTTTTGTTTGTTTCTTTCTTTCTTTTCCTAGCCGGGATAGTCCCCTGTTTGATTTCATTGAAAACTGCTTACGGAACAAGCATGAGATGGTGGTCTATGAAGCAGCATCTGCCATTGTTAACTTACCTGAATGCACAGCTAAGGAACTAGCTCCTGCTGTGTCCGGTAATGATGTCTTTTTTTTTTTTAACAACTTCATGCTTGAGTTTGCTGAGTTGCTTGACATGTATTGGTTTGGTTTGGTTTGGTTTGTTTTGATCTAAATGAAGCTTTACTGGCTGCAAAATGAGCATTGTTGCTGTGTTTTATGTAAAGTTGCTTTCAGCCACGCTGCTTCATGTTTAGATGTTAGACCAGTGGTTCTCAACCTATGGGTCGTGACCCCATTTGGGGTCGATCGACCATTTCACGGGGGTCGCCAAGCAAGGCTGTCCGCCATTTTTTTTCCCCCTTTTCCGGCGGGTGCCTTACCTCCCTTGGGCTGGGCCAGCTGGTGGTCGGCCTGCTCCATCTCTGCCGTTTGCCAGCTACGCCTCGGCCGGCGCAGGGGGCGGAACCACACATGCACGGCGCTCCCGGGCATGGAAAGTCTTCGACTTACGACTGGTTTAGTCCTCGACTTACGACCGGTTTAGTCCTCGACTTACGACCGGTTTAGTCCTTGACTTACGACCGGTTGGGGGTTGTGGCATTAAAAAGGTTGAGAACCACTGTGTTAGACTGTATTGCAGAGTGGTATCAGTAGAGTGACATTCAAACTCATTGTTGCTTTGTGGAAGAATACATATATGTGGTATCTCGTCTAATGGTTTCGGTAAAAGGGCCTGATCTTGTAGTACAATAAAAAAAAAATTGCATTTGATAAAACAGTGGCTAGAAGAGATACTAATGCAGAACATTGAGCTAAAACCAGAGCTCTTTCTGCTGGGTATCACTAAGGAGAGATACAATAAATGATCCCTTTACCTATTATTACACATGCTAACAGCAGCAAGATTAGCCTTTGCACAGAGATGGAAGGATAATGAGACACCCTCAGAAGAAGAAGTAATAAATAAGATTTTATCCTGTGCGGAAATGGATAGGTTGACATTGGAACTTAAGGAGAAGAGTGAAACAGATTATTATGAAATCTGGAATAAATTGTACAATTGGTTGGGGAAAAATAGACGGAAAAACTCTCTGATTCATATTGAAAATATTAAATGAAAATTTAGAATATAGATGACGGGACCCACCAGAGAGAATATTTAAGAGAAAAAGAGACATTTGTTGGAATATGTGGATTACGAATTATAGAAATCAATTGTTAACGATCTTTCCTTACAAATGTAAACTATGCAAACACACAGTTAACCGACTATTACGTGATTTATGTTTTAAAAACCAATAAAATTTATAAATAAAACAAAAAACAAAAAAAAACCAAACCAGTTTTCCAAAAGAGGAAAGAAGCTTAATGAGGGAAACAGACAAGGAACTGAAGCAGGGACCATCTTGTAATCTCCAGTGGATAGTTTATAAATTATTAAAGTAAAACATAAATTTATGACTTCTTTGGGGCCTTTCTGAATGAGATAAGCTGGTCTTTTCCACATAATTTTCCTATTTTCCTGGTATCTCCTTATATAATGAGGCTGCTGATAATGGATCTGAATCATCCTTTCATAAAATGGTGGGCTTAACTTCTTATAAATGTTACTTTTCCTAGTGTTGCAGTTGTTCTGTAGTTCACCGAAAGCGGCTCTTCGCTACGCAGCCGTCCGAACCCTCAACAAGGTAAGATGGATCAAAGACATTGAATTTGAAATCTAGAGCATATCTGTTAGTGATTGCTTTTCCAAGGCCCAGTTTGGAATCCAAGCATCTCCACTCAAGCTGCTGGGTATTCTAAGATCCTCAAGAGAGGTCCAACTTCTACTCTTGTGGCAATGCAGGTAGATCAGGAGATCAATCCTTGGCTTGTGTTTATCTATGAAATTCTCTTCATGAGGAAAGCTTAATTTTCTTATACTTTGCTATCTTTTCGGACACTTAGCAAATCTTACTTTTCCAAATAAAGGCAGAATGGTGCCTGCATTTCAAATAAAAAAAAGAGAGATGTAGATTATTTCATATCCCAGGATCAGAGTTTGGTTGAAGATCCTGGTGAGTAAACTGTAATTTTACCAAAAAGAGAAGAATCTGGAAATTGTGGTTTAAAAAGAATAGGTTCGAAGGGATGAAGACTGAGTATACGAGAAGGCAGGCAAAGGGGTGAGGGAATGAGGAGCATATTCCTGGCATAATAGATGTATCCGGCTCACTCTCTCCAGATGTACATTTGATTTATGTACATTTGTATGTGAAGGCTGTCAAGGTCACCTGATTTGCGTGAGGTGAATTCTGTTTTGTTTTCTCTTTATTAGGTTGCCATGAAGCATCCATCTGCTGTGACTGCCTGTAACCTTGACTTGGAGAATCTTGTGACTGACTCCAACCGCAGCATTGCTACTTTGGCCATCACAACTCTACTGAAAACTGGCAATGAGAGTAGC